TTACCCGTCTGTCTGGTTACCTGGTCACATCTACATAATCTGTTGGTTTTGGGGTAGTTGGCATCTATGTCTTGCAGCATTGGATGATTTTGGTAATGTATTTATGTTGGTTAGTCCTTTGTTTACAGTCTATGGGGTTGAATTTGTATCTAATTGGCTGATTGTGCTACTCAAGGAAGACTAGTTTATGCTAAAACTGTCATTGTTGCCTCTTAAAGGAGCTAAAATAAAGAGCTCCGGAACGTTGCTGAACTTCTGTGACCGATAAAGGAGCCGATGATGTGCCGGTGATAGACTCTTTCACTGTCTGGTTACCTGGTCACATCTACGTACCCTAACCCATCTCTCTGTTTAACTTGTCACATCCACATATACATACCCGCCTATAGGACTTCCTATTGGAATAAAGAAGGACGTTTTCTCTTTCTAGTTACTCATAGGATATGAAAGTGGGACAATTGTACTTTGGGACTTGAAATCTAAAAGAGCCGAGATCCGCTTTTACTATGACGAGGTGAGTCTGACATCCGCACATTGCTTTTTAACCCTCCGCACACTTCTTTACCATCGGTCACATTCCTAATACTTTGCTACATCGGGGCCAATGATTCAATCTATTGCATTATAAGCTGTCCATCCAAATGGCCCCTTTCGAGTCAGACACCAGAGATAAAACATGGAAGGTGACCGGTTTGTACCGTATTTAAACGTTTGCTGGGTTATTCACCGAAGGGTGAAGGGTTTGGAGAAGGCCGGAGGAGTGAACCATCTAGGACAATTCAGATCACTTTCCGCTTCAGCTTTGTTGACCTAGATCAGGGGTCAGCAACCTGCGGCTCCGGAGCCGCATGTGGCTCTTTCATCCCTCTGCTGCGGCTCCCTGTCCAGGTGTTCGGTCCTTGAAATGCAACTAAAACACCAACCTGCACATTTCAGAACCGAACAGCTGTTCCAGGGCAGATCGGTTCTCTTGCACATACGATTTGCTATGCCGATCTGCCCTGGAACAGCTGAGAAAGCGTTGAAATGCTTGACCTATTGGCGGTCACACATTTCACCGCCGAAAAAACTGGGCGGGATTACATTGAAATGTGAGACCACGTCACCGGTCACACATTGTAACGTAGTCACAAACTTTGATAGAACACCGCCATCAGGGGGGTACGGCCGGTACCCATGTGAGGGGGTCTGGGCAGTCTGGTGGGCCTCTTACATGAGTATCAGCTGTACCAGGGGCGGCATGGCAGAGGTGACAGGGGAGGGGGTGGAGGAGGCTGGGCCCCAGCAGCAGGTAAGAGGTGTTGGGAGGAGGTACAGGGAAAGGGACCCTGGCGACCAGCCGGTCTGAGGCCCTGCAGAGCCCACCATAGAGAGTCTCAGGTGGGCTGTGCAGGATCTATGTTGTGCTCTGCGGGGTCATTCTCAGGTGGGCTCTGCGGGGTCTCAGTACGTCACTAAGCCCACATATACCTATATATATATATATATGCTATACATAACATAAAGGTAAACAACGATATATGATGTGTAATCTTCATTATAGATGTCAAAAGGGTTTTGTGGCTCCCGGTGTTTTCTTTTCTGTGGGGAACGGGTCCGAATGGCTCTTTAAGTGCTTAAGGTTGCTGACCCCTGTCCTAGATTGCTCACTTCTCCGGCGTTCTCCAAACTCTTCACATAGTTAGTCAGGTTGAAAAAAGACACATGTCCATCGAGTTCAACCTGTAGAGATATTTTGAGAAAAAAAGAAAAAGCCTAAGCCTTTTGTGAATAGCCCTGTTGGTGTTAAACACCAGTGGGGAAAGGTGAGGCCGTGTGGGACTAGCAGTATAAGAAGGCCTGGTCACCAACCTGCCAGACAGAATGCACTATATGGGCAAAAGTATGTGACCACCCCTTCAAATGATTGAGTTAAGGTGTATACAAAGACATTGGAGACAATTGGGCTCTTCCAGCCTTGTGGTCCCAGTTTTGGTGAAGACCCTTTTGTGTCCCACCATGACTGTTCCCTGTGTACAAAGCCAGCTCCATACAGACACGGTGTGACCAGCTTGGTGTGGAGGAACTCGAGTGTCCTGCACAGAACCCCGACCTCAACCCTACTGCGTGGTCAGGTGTCCACAAACCTTTGGCCGTATAGTGTACAGTATATATTAGGGATGCACCGATACCGAGTGCCGATACTGGTACTTCCGGTAGCATAGAGCCGGCAATCAGGGAGCCAGGCGGCGTGTCATTACCCACTGTCCGGCTTCTTGATTGCCCGGGAAGCCGACTCTATTTTGTTTGGCCGGCTCAATGCTGATTGGCCGGCAAGCCGGCTTCCCAGCCAATCGGCATCGAGGCCGGCCAAACAGATCTGACAATCTGGTGACATGACCCCCAACCCTGCAGACACCTCATTCCCCTCACATAGATCCTCAGCTGCAGTCATTACTGTACCAGTGCCTCGGCCAGCTGGGCAAACACCGCTCTCCAAGATCTGCCCTCGTCTCCTGTGTGTACAGCGCCCACATGATCGGCCCTCAGCCTGTTACTGCGCTTGCGCAGACTGCCCAGCGCTCTCATTCAGAAATCAAGATGGCGGTGCTGGCGCTGTGCACACAGGAGACGTGGGCTGATCCGGGAGAGCTTGGAGAGCGGTGTCTGCCCAGCAGGCCGAGGGACTGGTACGGTAATGGGAATGATTTGTCTGCAAGGTGTCACCATATTATCAGATGTTTTTGCTCGCTTCGTTGCTAATTGGCTGGATTCCCGGCCAATCAGCATCGAGCCTGCCAAACAGCATGGAGCCAGCTTTCCCGGCTCCATGTTCCCTCGCGGCACTGCCGGTCAGAGGAAATCTCCCTCTTTCCCGATACCGGAAGATCCAGTATCGGGGAAAGGTATCGGAGCATTTGGGCGAGTACGAGCACTCACCCAAATACTCGGTATCGGTGCATCCCTAATAATATATATACAATTATAAATTATCATATAATGTTTGTATTAATATATATGATGAAGCAATGATATCTCAGGTTGTTAATACCGGTTGGGGGCTGACTTTCTTCTTCCAGGCAATTCATTCCATAGGCTGGCACCATGAAGGCCGTCAGTTCATGTGCAGTCACTCGGATGGCAGCCTTACTCTATGGAATCTAAAGAACCCTGCCAGGCCCTTTCAAGTCACTATTCCCCATGGTAAGTGTGTGCTTTCCATCCCTGGCTACATTCACCTATAACACAATATCACTTCCACATATTTTCGGAATATAAATAAGGTCTCTGCATGTATCTCCAAGCAGAAAGATAGCTTAGACTTACAAGCAAGGAAGCTTTGGGTAGGAGAAGACATTGCAGGGGTGGACAGGAAGTTACATCACAGGGCCCTAAGTGATCAGCGTCCCCACCTAATCTCACCCTCTCATTGGCTGAGGACCACTTCCTATGACTTATACTTGTGGCTTATAAATCATAGGCATGTATCAGATAGCAAGTTATTTGCAGTTTCTATGTTATAAAGCATTCGTTCTCAACCTTAGTGAGACAAGGGCCTGGAAAGTTCTACCAAAACCTTCCATGCCTCAGCAGTAAAAAAAAAAAAGTTTATACTCATTCCAGGGCCATAACTACAGATCACGGGGCCCCATAGCAAAATGTGATCCCCCCCCAAGGACCTCTCTCTGAGCTGTGAGTAACAATTCCAAGATCTCAAAGACTCTCCTTGTGCATCTGAAGCCATCTCTACACTGTAGACGTTACATGGGATTCGAGTTGGCATCAACTGCAACCACTTCAACCCTCAATGATACAGCACTGTATTATCTTCACATGTCCTAAGTTTGATTTGCCGCTACAACAACCTAATGGGGCCCCGTTCCACCCCTAGGCCCCATAGCAGCCGCCTGGGCTGCTATGGCTATAGTTACGCCACCAATTCATACTATAAAAGTGTGGGAATGCAAAATATGTATTTGAAATGTATTAATAGACCCCCATTTATTGGTGTCAGTGGGATAGTTGCCTTCAGTGGAAGAAAAGCCCGTCAGTAATATGAGCGTTGTGGGACACGTGGAACAGCCGGGGAAGGCTGGGAGAGGTCAGGAAGGTCGGTGACCCTAAGACCGCTGGGCACACTGCTGAGAGAGCGGAGTGAGGGCTCATGAGGAAAGCTACGGAGCCATATAAAGGACTGTCTTATGCTGCTGCTGCTATTTTGTGTTTGTCCTTTAATAAACTGCATTTTACTTGACTTACCTGGACTGCAGCGGAGTGTCCTTGTTACAGCACTGACAGCATTACGAATGGCCTGGTTGTGTGTGTTACATCTGCATGCAGCAGTGAGATCAGGGACATAACTGGAAGACAATAGCTTTTACTTTCATGGGACGTGTCATTATTTAACAGTTTTGCCGATTTATAAAACCATTCTGGGCAATTCCTCCGGTGATTTTTGCCACAAAACAAGGGCTTTTGATTGTTTCCTATGCAAGTACTCTTAAAGCAAAACTCCCGGCAAATCTTAAATGGTTTCCAAAGCCTCCGTTTTTTTTTTTTTTGCATACATCTACTGCTAGCAAGCGGGCGCATGCGCAGTTCGGAAATCCGTCCGGGAGACGAGGAGAGACACAAGGTAAGTCTATGGACGGCGTGCACCCCGCATGCAGACACCGTGGGACAGGAAGTACCGGCAAGGACAGAGGAGTCAGCGCTGGATCGGAGACCCCGCATGCAGACACCGTGGGACAGGAAATGTACCGGCAAGGACAGAGGAGTCAGCGCTGGATCGGAGACCCCGCATGCAGACACCTTGGGGCAGGAAGTGCCGGCAAGGACAGAGGAGTCAGCGCTGGATCGGAGACCCCGCATGCAGACACCGTGGGACAGGAAATGTACCGGCAAGGACAGAGGAGTCAGCGCTGGATCGGAGACCCCGCATGCAGACACCTTGGGGCAGGAAGTGCCGGCAAGGACAGAGGAGTCAGCGCTGGATCTGAGACCCCGCATGCAGACACCGTGGGACAGGAAATGTACCGGCAAGGACAGAGGAGTCAGCGCTGGATCTGAGACCGCGCATGCAGACACCGTGGGACAGGAAATGTACCGGCAAGGACAGAGGAGTCAGCGCTGGATCTGAGACCGCGCATGCAGATACCGTGGGACAGGAAATGTACCGGCAAGGACAGAGGAGTCAGCGCTGGATCGGAGACCCCGCATGCAGACACCGTGGGACAGGAAATGTACCGGCAAGGACAGAGGAGTCAGCGCTGGATCTGAGACCCCGCATGCAGACACCGTGGGACAGGAAGTACCGGCAAGGACAGAGGAGGCAGCGCTAGATCGGAGACCCCGCATGCAGACACCGTGGGACAGGAAGTGCCGGCAAGGACAGAGGAGTCAGCGCTGGATCGGAGACCCCGCATGCAGACACCGTGGGACAGGAAGTACCGGCAAGGACAGAGGAGTCAGCGCTGGATCGGAGACCCCGCATGCAGACACCGTGGGACAGGAAGTCCCGGCAAGGACAGAGGAGTCAGCGCTGGATCGGAGACCCCGCAGCAGCGCTGGAGAGAAGGCTGAAAGGGACAGGAAAGAAGAGGAAGATCGGATTAGGAAACATCACTTAAGGTAAGTGCTTTCATTAACATGGGGGGAGTGGAAAAAAATTACTTTAATGTCACTTTAACTCTTAAAGTGGGACTATCCCAGCACTGCAAGGGTTAAGTGCTCATATTGTCTGGGGAGCTAAAATAGTTATACCCCCCAAACCACGATCCTGGCTTGCTCTTAGACCGTTCCCTTCAGCTCGCTTCACCTCCACTCCGGCAGTCTATGGTGTTGCGAGTCAGGCAGTCTATGGTGCTGCGAGTCCGGCAGTCTTTGATCCCTATTGGAGAAGTAGTCCCCAAATAATTGGTGTCATCGAGATATTGGCCACCAGGGAACATTAGCTCCCTAAATTATTGGTGTCAGAGGGGTAGTGAACCCTAGGGGAGAAAAGCCCCTTAAATCATTGACGTCAGTGTAATAGTGGTCCCCTGGGAGGAATGGACCCCCAAATCCTTGGTGTCAGTGGTGGCACTAAACTTACCTTAGGACAGGAGTCAGCACCACCAGCTGATGAAGGCAGACGATCCCGCACACTGCCGATGGTCCCTCTTCTCTGTGTGTAGGTGCAGAAAGTCTGTCAAATCATTGATGTCAGTGGGATAGTGATCCCTATTGGAGAAGTAGTCCCCA